TCCCTAAAATATATGGCCTACCTAAATTCCATAAGAACCCAATTAAGTTTAGATTCATTACAGGTGCATATAACAGCTCTATAAAATCAATATCAGTATGCCTTCATCAAATACTAAAATTTATAAGACAACATTTCCAGAGGTATTGCTTAGCTATTACTAATTTCACTAATAAAAAAGTATAATATTGGTCCATTGATAATTCGAATCAAGTTAATTTATTGGAAAATGAAAATAAAAATAACATTTATATAGCTGATTTCAGTAGTCTTTTCACTAATTTACCCCACGATATAGTTAACTCAGCTATTAATGGTATACTACATATCTGTTTCCAAAATTCTAAAAAACCCAACATAAAACTAGGATACAAAAATTGCTCTTATACAAATGACGGAGGAAATAATACCTACAATAAAAACCAAATTATTTATTTAATTAAATACCTTCTAAATAATAGCTTTGTATCATATAAACAACAACTATTTCAGCAAAAATTAGGTATACCTCAAGGTCAAAACTGTAGTCCTATGTTAGCTGATCTTACCCTCAGTTACTATGAATATCTATTTCTTAAAGAAAATTATACAGAAGAAGTGGTAGGACACAGATATATGGACGATATTCTTGTTCTATATAAAACTGGCATTAATGTACAAACTTTGCTAAGTAAAATATACCCTAAAGAACTTACATTAGAACAAACTAATCAAACAACTCAATCTGTTGATTTCTTAGACCTCAGAATCTACGTTGAAAACAATAAAGTACAATCGGAATTATATAATAAAATAGACGATTATCAATTTAGTGTTACACGCATGCCCAACTATTCCTCTAACATCTCATACGCTATCAAACATGGATGCGTAGAAGGAGAAATCATCAGAATAGCTAGGAAATGTACCAATCTAGATACATGTATTAAAAATTTACAAAATCTAATTACCCACTTAATGAAAAACGGCTACCCCAGTAAAATTTTACTAAATCTATGCAGTAAAGCTATGAAAAAGCACCCAGGGCTCAGCCTAAGATACGATATTAGTGGCAAAAACTTGATACACAAATTAAAACTAACCCCTATAACACTTTCCTAAATATTTTCTGTCCTTCTCATACTTTGATAGTATCAGCTTACTATTATTTTACCTTTACTTCTCTTCTTTACTCTTTCAATCAGTTAGTCTCAAAATTCAACCCATCCTTTCGATTACGTTAGCCTACACACCCTCCCTATCGACACGGCCTGACTCGAACGATGGGGCTGATAAAGCCATCTGCTAAATCAAAGAGAATTTCAGAGAAAGTGAAACAAATATAACTAAAACTCATCCAAAATACACAAATTTTTAGCAAAAATGGAAATACTTTACTTTACAACTAAGAATTTAACCTTTTGAACTAGAAAGCATCAGGGATCCAGCTGAGGAGACCCACCCTGATGTTAAACTAGCCTGTCTTGGTTAAGGGTCGAAACAGGCATCCCTTTATATTATTTTCTTTAGCTCTTCTTAGAGCAACCCGCCATTCCCTTGTGGTTTGGTTCACACGGCTTTGCCGTATCGCTCGCTTGCGCTCAGGGCGCGATCCCTTTGGACAGTAACTGGTGGGCGTTGGTCCCAAAATCGGGCGGGGCGCTGGTCTAAGGGCTAGTAAAATCGCAATTTTTTTCTGGCGCCTTCGGCGCCATTGCATCTTTTAAGAATCTACCGTTGACTATGTGATTTTTTGTAATTTACCTGTGTTGTAAATTTGTTTTTGCTTGTTGTAATAAATATTTGTAATAAATATTGCGTTACTTGTTACCATCCGTGTAGCAGTCATGGGCAACTGAAGAAAAAAAAAAATGGCACCTGAAGCGGAGGAAGATGAAGAAATTCTCTAAATTTATTCCTACAAAACTATCTAAACTACAGACTGTACATCTGCGTTATATTCTTATTCTGAAATATCCTGATGCAACACGAACCGATGCGATGATGTGGTCAGCGATGCGCGCCGTTTCCAGTACATTATCGGACGGAGCAGTTGGAACACCGAAAAACCTGATTTAAAATTCTCAACTCCCCTTAACCAAATTATTGAAAACTCTGAGATTAGCTTAAGGGTAGCCAAATTATATACGCGCTGTGTCTACTACATACGCATACGAGAAAAATTTTTTTAAGGCCGTTTGCGGTATCGGCTCGGAGTTGCTGACCCTGAACTTAACGAAAATCCGTTTAAAAATCATATCTCGGCGCTCCTTTGTCGAATGGTTTCGAAACTTCTTTGGTGAGTAAAACTAAGTACCGTCTGCATTGGATAAAAATTTGAAATCCATCCGAGCCATTTAAGATATAGCTTGGGACCAAACTAACTTTGGACATGACCCCTTTCCCCTTTAATATGGGCAAAAACACTCAAAAAATCATATCTCGGTGCTACTTTGTCAAATCGCTTCGAAACTTCTTTGATGAGTCGGATTAGGTACCGTCTGCATTGAGTATAAATTTGA